CCATATTATTACAAATACACGTTGAGTCTTGAGTGACACATTAGTACTGGAGGATAGTTGTCAATTGCTCAACAAAATAAGAGGTTCAATGGCAGATTAAAATTTTGAAATGACTCTGTTATTAAAAATTAATAAATACTTTGAATATATCAGCAGCAAAGTACAAATCTTATACATAAATAAATATATTTCTACATTATATTATATATATATATATATATACAAATATAATATTCTCAACATAGAAGACAATCTGGAAGAAGCCTAAGTCGGGAGCCAAGCAACATTGAAAAATTAATCAGTTATTTAAAACAAACTAAACTATATCATATTTTTTGATCTGATTTATTTAGATATAATGTTCTTTTAATCTGATAATTAAAAAAAAAACTGTAGTATCAAATTTATAAAAAACATCGCATTGTAATTACTATAAATTTATTAAAATTTAAGTTAGAAAACTAATGAGTTTATAACAATGTTATTGAACTCAATAAAAATATATACATAGTATACATATTATATCATTGAATAATCTAGGTTTAGAATTATTAAATCAAAACCATAGGTAAATTATAAGGTACAAGTTATGCTTGACGTTTATTTAATTGTTTATGATTCCACCTACTCAAAGAGAAAGAATCAACCGATGCATGATTTATATTACATATTTAAAAAAAATGTTCATGTATTTATTTGCATATAAATATGCAGACACATTAAGATGAATACAATTTAAAACATTAATAACACATCGAGAAATATATTATATGGTGTTTAATAAAAGTTAAAATAAATTACGGTCCACCTATCCAACATGTGGTGTTTTCAAGATTAATAAAACCTTATACTGTTGTACATTCTAAAAAGAAAACGAAAAATCCAAAATGTATTTTTTTAACCCAAACATTTTAATATTAAAATATTTATATGTATCATGACAAAATATAATAATAAATATCGTTTAATTATAATTGTATAACATTTGTTCATGAAGGGGCGAGCAAATTTTAAGTTTAAATTAGATATTTTGTGTTTTATGCATTAGACTTAYTTTTACTGGCATGCAAAAAATGTACAAATTGTTAGTAGTAAAAGTAGCAAAAACCAGAGAAGACAGTAAAAAAAAATAATATATTTTATAGTAGAAGCTGACTGAAAGTTTAATATAAAAGTGTATAATATATGGTATAAAATAATAATATTATGTATAAAACGTATATTTAATAACTGATTGATACAGGGTGTGACAAAGTTTTGATATTATAACAGTGTTTATAAGTTATTCAATTATATTTTTTAATATTATTAATGATTAATTAATAATATATTTTTTTTTTTATTAGAATAAGCCTCGGCAGCGAAGGCCACTGGCTGACGTTTGACAATTAACAATGACATAAGATTAGTTATTACAATGATTTTGTTTGTACATTACATATTATGATTAATTTTTTACAATACATTTTCAATTTGTATATYTTTGATGAAGTTTAGAGTATTTGTGATGGTTTCTATGTTCGGGCCTAGTGATTCGTATAGATGTTCTGGGATKTTATGCTTATTTCTGGCGGCTTCAGTTTGTCTGCATTCGACAAAAATGTGTTTGATTGTTAGAGGGACTAATTCATAATATTATTCAGTAGGTATATAAGGTATATTTTTTGAATGTAATAAATTATATTTTATGAAAATCTATATTTTTTATCTTATTATTATTTTCTTAGTTGTTTTTCCGAATTAATCACATAAATCAGATGTTGTGTTCCAAGTATTTATATTGAAATATTTGAATATTGCTTCCTTCAACGGTAGCTAATGTTCTAATTGCATCATAAATTAATAAGAATATATGGAGTAGATTAAATTTAGAATGTGTTATTTGTTATTTAAGACAATGTAATTATAATCATGTCATATAGATTTATCTCATTTATCATATTTAGTTTTCAAAATTGAAAAATAGGGTGAATATTATGTACATAATTTTGCGTATTGTAAAAGATAAAGTTATTTCTAATTTTAATTTCATGATTATATGTATTAGAACTTTAATTAGGTTCTAATATGATTCAATAATTTATTAATATATGAATCACCTATACGAATTACCCTAGGAATTACTGATGTACAATTAACCAAA